TATGGCCTCAGGCTGTAAACTGTACATAGAACATTTCAGTGCTGTTTTGTACAGTCAGCGAATAAAAGACACACCTATCTGAGAGAAATCCAAAGTCTTTTGTGAAGCATCATGACACGAAAGGGACTCCTGAGTAACTCGGGTCCCTAAAGAATAACACCACAATGCACCATGAGGATACAGCCTGAAAAAGGTGCCTGCTAGATTACTTTAGTCGTATCCAATGTCAAATGCCAGTTTTAATCTCTCCTTTGTTGTTTAAATAAGCATTTGTCATCAAGCCATGCCATCAGTGTTACTGAGGGCACATTTCTTAAAAACTTGGACCCAAAAGCAGTAATTGTGGTCACCCTTGGGAAATAATAATACTAACCTGGTACATGCCTGTGGCAGATTTAGGTCAGGACCTGTGATCAAAAAGACAAATGTTCTGTTTTTAAAAAAGGAGTGGACAGTGCGTGTTTGCTGCAGGTCTTTTAAATGTCTATAGTTCCCACAAATGTAATATCTTTGGAATTATGTCCCACTTATGGTGACTCATGACTCAGCTCGAAGTTTGAGGAATTTAACCTCAATTTGTACTTGATCAGGTAGTCAGTTAAAAAATACAGGCCGATACGAAGACATAGGGCGTTGAATATTTTGATTAAACAAGAATGAAGGATAGGATGACGCTGTAGCCCTGACATTGTGTAAACCAAGAACATGTTTTGTGAGCTTTCCTGGGATGCATGCAGGGCGAGGCTTATCACGGATATATCAGTAACAATGTATATGTCGGTCAACAAGTAACAAGAAATTGTTGTGCAAAAATGCCATCGATATGTCTACGGCATACGTGCCTTCAGTTTATCCTTCAAAGAGCACTAACAGGTTTATTATTCAACTAAAATGTCCCACTCAGTACATATCTTGGTTATAATTTTGTAATTAACCAAATTTAAAGGAATTGTTCAACATTACATGCTTAAATCGCTTTCCGGCAGAGGCACAAAGAATGGAAATGGGGGAAACAGCTTTCCTGTCTAACCCAGTCCACCATTAACAAATCCACCCACCAGCACCTCTAAAGGTAACTGAGACGTTATATGTAATTTTTTTAATCCATACCAGAAACCAAAGACAAGTATTTGCTGTTTTAATTAGGATTATGTGCCAGACTAGGCCTATTTCTTGGCTCTGAGGAGTTACCAGGCAACCAGCAGAGAGTCAGGGAAATGTGTGTTGTTTTAAGATTTTTTGTACTGATTAAACAAAAAAAGATATAAAGATAGTTGTTAAAGCAGCTATCAATGCCATTTTTATAACAACGATCCATCAAAAGACAATGTGGTATTGGTCACTCGTAGTAATGCACCTAGAAAGAGCAGCTCCCCTCAACTTTAGAGCTTTACAGTGAGTTTCAGCTAATTTTTCAGCTGTCTGTCATTGCAGCTTTACTGTTTCTAGCTATCTAATGGCTTATGGACTTATTTTTGGCCACCGCAGACAGTTGTTTTTCTGTGAGATCAGACACAGTTAATGAGTAGCTGGTGAACACAGTGGAGCATTTAGCAGTTAAAAAGCCTGACACGTATTTCCCATTCATCAGGAGACCAGAAACACAACTCCAAATGAACGATAATGTTGCTCCAGTAAGGTAAGCAGCTGTTTGCCATATCTACATAAAAGGTGACGATATGTCAGTGTTGTGTTCAACGCTTGTTTGTGCTGCCCCCAAGTGGCCAAACAAATCAGTTTCTTTATAGTACCTTTCTCACTGTTTTGTTTTTCTGGCTGCAACTCACCTCTTTACCTCCGCTTTCATCATTTTCAGCCCAGTTTTTGGTCACAGCAGTAACTAAGCTACTGGTTCAAGTATAGTTCAAGGTTCAAAGGTGGTCTTTTAGTATTGGATCTGAATGGCCTCCATTTGCTGAATGAACACTGTGAGATGCAATTGAACGCTCAGAAAGCAATTTAAGTGAATGTGAGTGTTCCTGAAGGTCAATAAAGAACACAATTTTCCCCCAATAATAATCTCTGAAAACATGTTGTACTTGCTGTTCCTGGAAAACATAAAGAAAAAAGGGATCTTGGAGTATATATATCTGTAATTGTTAAACTCCAAAAACTCTTACTTTATTGTCAGCACAGAACAGCTCCATCTATATGTCCAATTTGCCTCAAAGGGTAGTGTTTGGTTAATGACTTTATCAACATGCACCCCTTAGCAACAATGGTAGGCCACTGCTCATATCACTCTCATGTGTCCATGAATGTGACTCACAGATAATGGGTACAAAGGCACCTATGGATGTTTACACTGGAATAACAACAGTAACGTAAGTCCCAGAGGATAAAACAAGTGTCTTGTCTCTATAGGCAGTCAAGGCAATTCATGTGCAAAGAGGCTCTTGGGAACAAAATCTAAATTACATAACATGGCACAGTGAACACCAAATGTTTACATAAGATCTGACATTTTTAGTCATGTTTTTGACATGCTAAACAATAAGGAGTTGTCAATACTTGAACTGAGCCAAGCATGTGCAGATATGAAACAACCTGCTTTCCACATTCAAACCTACTGACTGCATAAGCTGCCAAATTAATGTGAAATTCGCTGTGAATTAATAGTTTTATGTCACAATGCTTAAAAATATCTGACAGTGGATACATTTCCTATCATATGTTACATCTTATATCTGGCTATGATATTTTTATTTTTATTTTATTCTAGTCATGTACATTTTATTTATATTTATTGTACATAATACTTGTTACATCCATCTTATCAGATCTTCCTTTCTTTTTTATATTGTAGGGTCAAATTCACCGGAATTGTTTGGTTTAAGTTCACAATAGGTTTATTTTGAACAATAGCTATTGACTGTAATTAGAACATGCTGTTCAGTGAGTCACACTATTAAACACATGCACCTGAGCAGTGTCATAATGTATTATAACAGTAACATTGGAGGAGTCCCATTTTTTTTTTAAAGTCACATCAGGACACAACACCTGTCTGTGCTGCACTGTAAATGGTAAACCAATCCCAGGGTTATAAAACTTGATGATCTGTGACCTACTTGGTTTTTTTTTTTTTTTTTTTTGATTGTTATCTCAGAAATCCACCCCAACCTCAGTGTCAGTGTCTAAACATAATATTTGATGTTGCATTAAAGATCATGTTATTTCTTAAAGATACTATATTTCAGTATCATTGAGGCTAAAATGCCTCACTTTAACCCTGGTGTGTGGTATTAAGCTGTCCCTTTTCTCCCAGAGTCTGCTTGTACTTTAACTCCTCTTCTGGAAGAAGAACCTTTACTCAATTAAAATTACAAACAACATACTGTAAATTTTAAATTCATGCATTCAAAATCTTTTTAGAAGTACATACAGCAGAATGACCCCTCTCAGAGTAATATGCATACAATAGAAATAGTATTGTAGGATTTCTATACACATAAGTTTAATCTTGTTGTTGGTCAGAGTGAAGCTAATTTTTAACTACTTAAATATTTACTTATATACTCATATACTGTAGTGTACTGTGGGGTAATGATACATCATATTTTTTAAACTAATCAATGTTTTATATGTAAAATGGAATGTAAAAAAGTAATAATTAGCTGTCTGTATTGTGGAGTAAAAAAGTTAATTTCACTTAAAGTAGTGGTATGTAGTAGCAGAAAACAGCAGTAAACCGAGCAGTGAAGAAGTCTGTCACTAAACCTTACTAAAGTATAATTTGTCACAAGAGGACGTGGACAGATTTTTTTTTGGACCAACAGGATCCAGGAAAGAAAATTATTTCGTTTCTGAGACGTTATAGCGCCACCATCTGGCCAAATTGTATCTAATTCAGCACTTCATTGAGTCTTCAGCAATACACCCTCTAAGTGTGAAGTTGATCGGGTGAATAATTGTTGAGAAAATTGACGGACATACATACATACAGTATGTATATGTAAACATACATATAGAACCTACCTACATATATACATACATATAATACCTATATATACATACATACCCTCATACATATAGTGCCTACATATACATATATATATATATATATATATATATATATATATATATATAGATACACACATACATACGTTTGTATATATATAAGTAGGTACTATATGTATGTATATGTATGTATGTATATAAATAGGTACTTTATGTAGGTTATGTATGTAGAGAGACATAGAGAGACAGACACATTAGTGCTTTACAGGATCTGAATACTTTTTCTAATACTCTGATCAACCAGTGTTCTATGGAATAACATTGAAGTCAATATTAAATAAATAATAAAAATGTTAAAAAATAACTGTTATTCATTGCCATATATTTTTTTGTTAAATCCACAGGGAGCCACTGCAGAGGGGCAAAAGAGACACATTACTCCGAAGCCGCAGGTCGCCTACCTTTGTAGCTTTTGAAGTAAGTTTGAATCTTGTGTGTATCTTAAGATTTCCGTGATCTCGCAAGAAGGTGTTAACACCAACACACCCGTGATGTGCCAATCTCCCACTCTAGGCAGAGTAGTTTGCTACTGCCTCCTCATTTGTATAATGAAGCAGAAATGCATAAAGAATTGTAAAAAGTACTTACAGAAATAAATAAGTGGCAGCGAGTGGCAATAAGATATTATATTATATATAATCGTATTATATAAGATATACATAATAAGAAATAAAATAATTAAATTAATGCTTAAAACTATTTTTTAAAATAATTTTAGTGTATTTAATGGCATAATAATTTTATTTAATGAGTCATTCATTTATTTCTAATTTATTTTAGATTTTGGCAGTTTGGGTCCTCCATAGAAAGCCACTTAAAATCTGCTGCATCCCGCCGATCTTGGTAGCAACTGCGGTGGAAAGCAGCAAACTGAATTTTTTAATTGGACCATTTATAGAGGCGGTGGTATGATGGCAGGTGATTGGCCAGAACCGCTCCTCCTGCGTTCTAGACGGTTCTAGACCGTTGAGTGGAAATTTAGTTGAGGAGGCGCGGCCGCTCCCACCTCACTGACAGCGGGGACAGACGACCTGACGGACCGAGAGTCACTCAGGGTGAAAAGCCAGCCTGCAGTATTAAAAAAAAAAAAAAACCCAGCGCTAACGATAAGCTGATTAAACAACATATTCTGAATTTAACGGAGGTGAGTATATATATATATATGCGAATAACGTGTTGAGTAACTTTTCAGACAGGTTTTATAAGAATTAAAGGAATGTAGCCAGTTAACGTTAAATCCGTTAGTCATTCGATAACGTCATTAGTGTCAACGGCTGCTTAGTTTACGTTACAAAAAAATAAAGCAACAGTTTAAGCTAGCTAACATTTTTGCTGTCGGTATCCATTCAAATAAAGCTGCATCTCGTGATTTACGCCAACTTCTCTTAATGATGACTAATTAATGCCGTAAGCTAACTTTTTATGTTTTATTTTGTAACGTCGCTGCGCTGCACGAGAAGGCGAACCCTGTATTGTTATTTTGTATAACATAAAAAGTTAACGTTAGATAGAGGCCGTGGCTAACAACAGGTATGAGCTGATGCTGGTTCCTCTCTGCAACATCAGACTGCGACTTGCACTGGAGAATTTATTTATTTTTAGGGGGTGGGGGGGGTTTGCAAAGTTGCTAATGTGCGTCCAAGTGACGCCTTATCTGCAGGATATGTTGCACAACGCCTTGCAATTTGTGTACAAGTTACAAGGAAGTGAAGGGAATAAGTCCAGAAAGTTCTCAGCCTCCAGAGGTTACACGCCCTCCTGCAGCGTTACTGAGGCTGCTGGTGACAGCTAACGTTCAGCTAATGGTCCAACATGTTGTGCAAAAAAACTAAAAGAACAACCCCCTTCAGCCTGACACCAAATTACTATTTACAACCTTTAACAATATTAGGGAAACTACTGCAGTAACAACAGGTTGGGTTGTATCAGTCAGTCTGTTTCTCATTAGCTTTTGTAATGTAAATGAAGATATTATATTCTTCATATTTCTGATTTGACTGACATACTGGTTTGATGAGCATCACCCGTTTTTTTTTTTTTTCCTGTCAGAAAAAATATTATTTTCATTATTGACTAACCAATTAATCATTTAGACTATAAGTTGTCATAAAATAGTTCAGAGCTCTAATTGTTGCAGCAGTGCACCAACAGTTGTAGTATTTTTTTGCTTGGAAAATTATTTTAAGATTTAATTGATTATCAAAATAGCTGAATTAATTTCTGATTGACTAATATATGAATATTTGTTTCAGCCCTATTTTTCTTCCTGAATCCTAAAACCCTTTCAGTCATCAGAGCACATCTCCACATTTTTACCCTGTCATGTACACTCCCCTGCAATAACCCTAATGCTCCACCAGAGGAGCCCACCCCCCAGTATGAGAGCCACTGCTTCAGAAGTAATGACCTCCCATGTGGCTTAACATTTGACTAACATTACAGCATATTGATGACCTGCTACTGTAGCAACAGTAAACATGGGGGCCAAGGCATTACTGCGTACTGAGTCATCTTAGTAACTTTGTTGTTGAGTGAAACAGGATCTTTATTTCATCAGCTCATTTTCCAGCTGATATATGGTTTTACTGAGCAAGTGATCTAGATAATTCATGAACCCAGCCTCTGAAACAATACAAACTGTATTTAATATAAATTATATTTAATAAAATAGCTCCAAGAAATGTCCCAGAGTTTACATATTCTAGTATATTTGTTTTTTGTTTCAAACCCAAATATAGGAATACAGTGATACAGGCTGGCTACAGTAAACCTGCTCCTTAGATAAATGCCCTCTCCTCCCTGTTGCCTGTTGCTGCCATAATAAAAGCAGCCGTTGCTAAGCTGTCAAATGTGGGAGGCTTGAAAACAGGTGCTCTGGACTTTCACTTCACTGACAGTTTGTTTCCACTTGTGTTTGAGTTGCTCAGTCTCTGATAATAGCCTCATTACCCCATCCTACAAATGTACATCCTGGTAGCCACCTGCAGTGTTTAACTCAAGTTGTTCATCTGTCACATACCCAGATTTTGTTATCTAGTGCCAGTATGTGATTAACAGCTCATCATTTTTATATTCTCAGGAACCATGTCCAAGGGACCAGCAGTCGGCATTGATCTGGGCACTACCTACTCCTGCGTAGGAGTGTTTCAACATGGCAAAGTTGAAATCATTGCCAATGACCAAGGAAACAGGACCACGCCCAGTTATGTTGCCTTCACTGACACAGAGAGGCTGATTGGGGATGCAGCCAAGAATCAGGTGGCTCTGAACCCCAACAACACAGTATTCGGTATGAAACATTTTTTAAGTATGATCAGTTAAGTTTGATGTTTTTTGATTACTTACTGTAACTTTTATTGTCCTTCAGATGCAAAGCGCCTCATTGGACGTCGGTTCGATGATAGCGTTGTCCAGTCGGACATGAAACACTGGCCATTTACAGTCATTAATGATGCTTCACGCCCCAAAGTTAAAGTGGAGTACAAGGGCGAGACCAAGACCTTCTACCCAGAGGAGATCTCCTCCATGGTGCTAATCAAAATGAAGGAGATTGCAGAGGCGTACCTTGGGAAGGTACACCTGTGTCCTTTTTTTGTTTTACAAAAATAATTTGTGTGTATTTGTTTACAGAAGGGGATATTTGTAACACACAATCTCACAAGTGTATTTTTATTTTCCTAGTCCAAAGTTTCTATGGTTCTACTATATTAATATAATGTTAATGTAAATAGGCTAGAGATCTTTGCGCTCTAATTTGATATGATAAAAACTGTACCTTTAATGTTGAGAAAGCCATTAATGTTTCATTAACTGCTGTAATATTTCCTTCTTCCAGACTGTAACAAATGCTGTAGTGACTGTGCCTGCCTACTTCAATGACTCTCAGCGCCAGGCCACCAAAGATGCAGGGACCATTTCTGGGCTGAATGTCCTTCGTATCATCAATGAACCGACTGCTGCTGCTATTGCCTATGGTCTGGACAAAAAGGTAAAATAATTGTTTAGGCTACAACATACAGTTTTTAGTTTTAAGGCATTTTGACAGTCTCACTTGAAATTTTAAGGTTTTTCCTTTGTTACAGTTTTATGTTTATTCTGGGTCTTTAAGTGTAATGTACTGCAGACTTTTAATGTGAGGTTTTTCAAAAAGTGCCTGCTGTAAGTGAATTAAATACAGTCAAATTACAGGTTGGATCTGAAAGAAACGTCCTCATCTTTGACCTTGGCGGTGGCACGTTTGACGTCTCCATCTTGACTATTGAAGATGGCATCTTTGAGGTCAAGTCCACAGCAGGCGACACACACTTGGGTGGAGAAGACTTCGATAACCGCATGGTCAACCACTTCATCTCCGAGTTCAAACGCAAGTACAAGAAAGACATCAGCGACAACAAGAGGGCTGTGCGTCGCTTGCGCACAGCGTGTGAGAGGGCCAAGCGCACTTTGTCATCCAGCACCCAGGCCAGCATCGAAATCGATTCTCTGTACGAGGGAATCGATTTCTACACCTCAATCACAAGGGCCCGCTTTGAGGAGCTGAATGCAGACTTATTCCGAGGAACCCTGGAGCCTGTGGAGAAGGCCCTCCGTGACGCCAAGATGGACAAGGCTCAAATCAATGACATTGTCTTGGTGGGAGGTTCCACTCGTATTCCGAAGATCCAGAAGCTCCTTCAGGACTTTTTCAATGGGAAAGACCTCAATAAGAGCATTAACCCTGATGAAGCAGTGGCCTATGGTGCAGGTATAACCCTGTTCTCTCTATAAACATAGCAGTGTACTAAAAAAACATCCTGACAAAGAAACTGAATAAGAAATGATCAATTACAAATGTAAAAGTCCACCTGTTTGTCCTGCAGCTGTGCAGGCAGCCATCCTGTCAGGCGACAAATCGGAGAATGTGCAGGACCTGCTGCTGCTGGATGTGACCCCCCTGTCTCTGGGCATCGAGACTGCTGGAGGAGTCATGACTGTTCTCATCAAGAGGAACACCACCATCCCCACGAAGCAGACCCAGACTTTTACCACTTACTCAGACAATCAGCCTGGTGTTCTCATTCAGGTATGACCACCATCTTTGAAAGGAACACTTAATTGTTTTAGAGAATTTCCAATAAATCATTTATTAATGGACTGCTCTGACATTATATCTACAGGTGTTTGAGGGTGAAAGGGCCATGACCAAAGACAACAACCTTCTGGGGAAATTTGAGCTGGTTGGGATTCCCCCTGCCCCCCGCGGGGTTCCTCAGATTGAGGTGACCTTTGATATCGACGCTAATGGCATCATGAATGTGTCTGCAGTCGACAAGAGCACTGGGAAGGAGAACAAGATCACAATCACCAACGACAAAGGTAACCTGAAGAAGAACTTCACCACTGTATTTTAATTGTGAAATGAATAAAGTGAAAGTGACGTACAGTACTCAGGCTTGTTTTCCTTTGAAATACAATCCATCAGGTCGCTTGAGCAAGGAGGAAATTGAGCGTATGGTCCAGGAAGCGGACAAGTACAAGGCTGAGGATGATGTGCAGAGAGAGAAGGTGACTGCCAAGAACGGCCTAGAGTCTTACGCCTTCAATATGAAGTCCACTGTGGAAGATGAGAAGCTGAAGGGCAAGATCAGCGACGAGGACAAACAGAAGATTACGGACAAGTGTAACGAGGTCATCAGCTGGCTGGATAAAAACCAGGTATGAAATAGAAGGGTAGTCTACTTCTGAGGTTTTACACATTACGCAACACAAGTGTTAATATAATTGTTGGGCTGGCATCAGATTGATACTTTGATACTTAAATTCTAATATGTCTTCCTCCCTTTTCTCAGTCTGCAGAAAAAGATGAGTTTGAACATCAGCAGAAGGAGTTGGAGAAGGTGTGTAACCCCATCATGACCAAGCTGTACCAGAGTGCTGGGGGAGTGCCCGGTGGGATGCCAGGTGGAATGCCAGGGGGCTTCCCCGGAGCTGGTGGGGCTCCTGGAGGAGGAGCGTCCTCCGGCCCCACCATCGAGGAGGTCGACTAAACTAGAGCAGACTTGCATGAGCTTGTTATCTTTTGAGGTTGGTGTGAGGGGTGATCACAGTCATAATATCACAGTTATCAAAATGGTTATACTCATAACTATTAACCAGGATTGTTTTGGGATTGTTTTCATCATTTTGTATGCCAGGCTTAAGGCAGCACTTCCACTGTGGCTTTTTCTGGTGGGCGGTCTTTTCAGGCCACTGTTGCTTTCAGGTGAACCAGTTAATGTTTGCATTGCCATGGTGTGTTTTTCTTTCTGAGTTGGTCATGTGGCTGAAAGGGTTGATTTTGCAAAATGAGACGAAATAAAAGATTGTTTTGAGTTTGGACTCATCGCCCATGTACTCTGATTGAAACAGATAACATCACACCTTATTCTAATATTGAGTGTAGGTGTTACAGTATATATAATATATATATAATATCACATCATCTTTTCAGAAAGGACACAAATATTTAATACCTCCTTTGAGTGGTTTGTATGATGTTGAGTGCAGGTCTTTTCTTAAGTGGCTTGTTGTTGGTAGTACACCAAGAAATCAAACAGGTGTATCAATCAGATAGCTATAACATTGTAACTACACACTCCGCTGATGGTGAATACTTTATGGTAATACAGACTTAAATCACACAGACATTTTACCCTCCAATAAAAAATGTTTATTACTTTGTCATTGTGATGTGATTTTAAACTGACATTCATTTGCTGATCCCAAATACAGTGAGCTGTATCAGCTCTCATACTTGTGTCCTCCACTTCTATACTGTGTTTAATTTGTATTTAAATAAGATACAGAGACAATACAGACAACAGTGTTTTCTTTCATTTATTTTGCTTATTCATCAATATTTATGTTAACAGGAAATGGAAAGCTCATTGGGGTGTTGATTGGGTCCTCTTGGCCGTATATTATGGACCAGTGCTTGTGTGAATGTGTGTGTTGATGTCTTTTGCAGGTTAGCGTGAGTTAGAGTTTCTTGGGCATTCATGCATTCTGTAGGCACACATGTAGAAGATACCTAGAAGACAATAATCACATTATTAGGATTACAAACATGAGAATGATCCACAACAATGTGTCTTTACTGGTTAATGTGGTAGGATGCATACCTGAGAAGAATGTGAGCACCACTGCCACCCAGCCCATTATATAGGACCAGGAAAATCGCCAGCTGCCATAGCGTTTACCATAGTAGTTCACTGTCACTCCTGTGTACACAGCCATAGCCAGCAACACAAAGAAGCCTGCACAAGAATAGAAATCATTTGGGTTAACTGATGAATGTCTTCACTACATCCGAGAGGCTTGCATGTATCTACTGAGGCTGAGGAGCTTACAGGAGATGAAGAAAAGGATGCCGGCTGCAAATGTCTTGTCAAATCCGTCAAAGGAGGAGTAGTGGATGAAGGCCATGACGCCGATCACAATGCCGATGAAACAAGCCAGCAGGGAAAGAATCATGAAGGCCCGGGTGGCATCCCAGTACGCTGTGGGGGGGAGAGAAGACGGGGAAAATCTTAAAAACTGGGAGACCAGACTTATATGTACGTCCAGTAGTAAATGAAGAATCATTTAAGTCTTTTTTAGTTTTATGCAGCCAACTCGACTCAACCCAACTCTGTAATGTATACAGTAGGTGTGTTTCATTTTCACAGCTCGTCCTGCTTTTCTCCAGCTCAAGCTTGCCTTCTAGTGTTTGGCCATGGATTTGCACCTGATTTGATGAATTAAAAGGACAGATGACTGAAAATAAAACCTGTTTTTACCTAAACTATATACAATGAGTGGTGAAAACTATTCCTGAAAAGTCCCAAAAAATAACCTGCACACTTTCCTAAGCAGAAATCTTCTAATACAGCAACTATACAAAAAAGAAACATCTGGGTTTTTTTTTTAAAGATTTCTTGATTTACATGACAGTAACAATTTCCATCTTCTTTGCACATGAATCTCAGCCATATTTTACCCCATCCATGCCCCAGAGGGAAGGAACCCCCAGTGTTGATCAGGGTTAGTGGGCGAGGTCACGCACTGATTGTCAGCAGACTAATAAATATAAATGAGGATCTGCTTGTGGAAGACACCAAGAGCGAGTCTTACCAATGCTGTCTGTGTGTGTCATGCATTTCCCCGGCACACAGTACCGCCACAGGCCCTGGTGCATGTAATTGCTGGAGTGACGGTACTGCATCCAGTAGTCAGTTGCCGTGGAGACAATGAGGAGTATGTTCCCGACTCCGGCACAGAACAACCCACCTCCCATGAAGCTGTACATCCTGCCAAAAAAAAAAAAACACTGACTGACACACAGAGAAAACAGAGCAGGTCAGGGCCTCGCCACATCTGGCCCCTGTTATACCAATTATAGCAGGCACTTCCTGTTACAGGGCATGGAGAGACAGATATGAATAAAACAATATCTAAATGCATTCAGCAGGATGCCACAAATGTTATGCCAGAGCTAGACAGATCTGATTATAGAAACATTACTCATTAGACAGTAACACTGAGAGGAAACTTACAAGCTTGACAAGCAGCGAACTCAGTCTGACAAGTCATTAACCTGTAACACTTCCACACTGAGAGGTGGGTCCATCTTTAAAAACACATGTTGTGCCGGCAAGCATTTTTCAAATCCAAACACATGTATTTTCAATTCTTATTAAGACCACCAGGTTTCCAAAGATACCAAACATGTACTGCTGAACTATGAGGAAAAGTTTATAAAATGATGCAAAAGAATAGCTAGAATATTATTTTTTTCTCGATTTGATTCAATGCTGCATCCATAAAAACATGGCTTCTTGGGTTTCAGTAATTCATAAATATTTGGATTTCCCCTAATTTTGAAGCTACTTAAAAGGACATTTATTTTGGAAAGTTCAATTGCAGCAATGAAGAAAGAGAACTCTGAAATACAAAATATTTCCACACATGGTTTGATATGAATGACCTACCTTTTATCTTTTTTTTCCTGCAGAAAAAGTCAGAGATTCCAATATTTCGGGTTGCCAAAGCACAGAGGAGCCCAATATTGCCCAGGGTGGCAGGAAAGTTTTGTTTGTGCGTAGGAAACCAAGCGAACAAACGGGCTGATGGAACAATGGAGCGTGCTGAGCCACAACCAATCACAGGGGATGAGTTTTGTGTTTTAGGGAATCTGCTGAAAATACAAAACTGTTAAAGCGCTGTGCACATCTCAGTAATACTGATGACACAGGGTTTTTTATTCAAAATGCTGCACAACCACACACAGTAAACTCATGGCCTGCAATAGGCTCACCCACAGCCATTGCTGGAAAAGTGTGTTTAACAGATTATTTTAAGCGGTAAAAATTTAAAAACTGAATCATTTGGAATTATGTTTGAGTTGATGTGTTTTTGACTAAATCCTTTTTGACTACTATGCTGAAGGAAACATTATTTTCATTAAACATCAGATTATTTCTGCCTTTAAATATAATTCTCTGTCCTGCCTCTTGAACACAAATTATTAAAATTCAAATTGTGAAATGCTCTAATTTACATAAAATCAATTCAGCTTTTTTTTTTTCCAGGCATGTGGAAGAAATGATGAAGAAAATACAGCAACTGCTCTCACTGCACATCCCTCATAATAACAAACTGAAGAGTAATTCATTAATATTACATTTAGTCTCATATTTTCTAGGTCCTGGCATTTATTCGGCACACACCCCGGAGGAATTGATCTAATAATTACACATGATTATAAAAAAACAAAAACAAAAAACAAACAAATGTAACAGTGTACTTGGGAATAAATTCACAAGACAAGATGTTAAGTTGGCAGAACAGAGCACGATGAGCTGGCAGGTGGGCGGCTAAGTCGTGAATTTGTCCAGTTTGGGTGAAGTCTTTTCAATAATTGTGATTTGTCTTTGTTGCGCGTCTTGTAGAGAGATAAGGAGTTGAAAGAGAGAATTATGGTTAAGTAATTAGTATTTTATTTGCTCGCTTGATGGTGTAACTGGTGTAGCACACTGTATATGAAGAGGCGTTGCTGTGGAAAGAATCAGGGAGGAACGGTTGAAGAGTTTTTAAATCAGGGACGTGATCAGAATCATAAATAAGGCCAGGCCTCACCTGATTTAAGAGCAGAGTTACTCCAAAAAAGCCCGGCATTTTTCATTTCAAGCTTTTCTATTTTACTTTAAAACCACCGTGGACCAGGCGACTTCATTGGTCGAACATGTTGACACATACAAGCAATTTGATCCCAGTTCTTAGTATCCTCAGTGTGCTTAAACACAGTCTATGGGGTGGCAAGACACGAACAATCACATATATCAATATATTCTTGAAAAAGCCCCTAAATTACGATATTTGAACTCAACAACATTACACAGTTGTGGCTCATTTGTAAAGCATTAATAGAAATATATAATGGTGGCATTAGAAATCAATAGATTGTTTTGTATCCAAATCTTCATACATTTTTCTAAACACAGGTATTCTTTCCATTAAACTTAAGCTTATGACTTAGTCCAAAATATGGCCATAACAGATAATTAAATTATGTTAATTTCTGTTTTCTAACTCCTTATTTTTTGTTTTGAGTGTTAAAACCGCATTTGACATCAAACTTCGGAGGCAGTTTGGGTGGCACTTTTTATGGGATGGCAGCCCTGTGCCAAGCCTCTAGATCCACCTCTGATACAACTAAAGAAATATAAACAAACTTTAACATTATATGTACGGTATGTACAGATATTATGTACAATTAGGCTGCTGTCAGAGGCCTAAACCATAAGATAGACCTTCAGCTATCAACTAGCTCTATAATACCTGTTATATATCCTTTAATTACATAAGAAATTTTATCAATTATGTTGAGGTTCTTATTGAGAGCATTGGGTGTTGAAATGTGTTCAATAGGCCATTTTGCAAAAAAAAAAGTAAATACTTAAGACAGAAAAGAGGTCAGGTCTGTCCTTTTTGTGGAGTATCTCTACTCTTCTAAATTCTTCTAAATATCAGTAGATCTCTTGGTGATTTATATTCTATTTCACAGAAAGTTCAGTGTCAATTACTGATGACCAACAAAATCCAGTGCAGGGACTTTGCAT